CAGGTGGTCTCCATCTGCCGCATTGTGAGTAATTTTCCACAATTTCATGTCTTCAACGGACAGGATGACATCACATTCTAGATCACTGACGCAGTCATTTAATAAACAAGGGATAGCGTCTGGCCTACGACTTATCTCTGTGGGATACCACTCACCACGACTGTCTCTGAAGACTATTGGTGCCGTCCTGCACTCTTCGGAACCGTCTAGTCAAAAACTCCTGGATCCATTCAAGGAGGATTCCACGAAATACTGCGTTGCACGTTCGATGCAAAAGACATTGATGAGGAACGCTGTCGAAGGGCTTTTGAAGTCGATATAGATGGCTTAAACCGTACTGCCTTCGTCGCATGTTCTGGTTCAGCGTCCAAATGAAAAAAGGAGATACCTAAGACGGGACCTACTACTGCGAAAGCCGTCTGGGGCATCGGTGAGGAGGTGATTCTGCTGAAGGAACTATATCAACGTTTTCTTAATTATTTGCTTCATGATTTTGCAACCAATGGAGGTAAGGATCTCTGGTTTGCGGTTATTTGCAGACGCTCGCCTTCCATCCCTAAATATCGGAGTGACGGTAACGGACTTCGAATCGGAGGTTAAGTACTCAGTGGAAAAATAACGCTAGAAAGAGCAACGCTAACGGTGTGGCCATTTCAGACGCCAGCTCCTTCAACAGCTTGGCCGGGATTGCATCGGAGACAATAATGGTCGATTCTTTCAAGTTTCGCAACTTTTTCGAGCGATTGCCTCGGTGAAGAGGACTGTTGCAGTGGTAGGCGTTTCCTAGTATTCACAAATGAATTGAGAAAATCTTGCTCACGCTTCAAGGCAGACCGGATGGACTAGGCGAAGTGTTCAGCCTTATCCTTGCCCTCTGAAATTTCCTCACCCCGACCGTTTGCAAAACAGGGGATTTTGGACGACGCTACCAAATTAGAGTATCTGCTCAAATTTCCTTCTCTATGTGTGGTTTCGCTTTCTAGGATCTCTCATCTGAGATTTTGACTTTTTCGTTTTTTCAGTACATGCATCGCGTCCTTCACAAAGAAATCCTCTCAAAGAAGTAGCAGGGCCGGGTTGGTGTGCACTCTCTTAGCCGCTTTCGTCTCACTGGTCGCCAAATCTCATCAGAAATCCGCGCTCTCCTCTGAGATTTCGAGTTCTCGGCCTCAATCGTCTATTGCCGATCACGGCGAAATCCTCTGTTTTCATTATTTGCTAATAGTTTGGTCGGTCAACAAAGAAGTCTCAGGGCCGCATCTCTTCACTACGCCTGGAAGTCTGCCTCAGCCTTTGGTATTTCCTCCTCGGCTGAACTCTTAACGGGCTGTGATCGATCGTGTCCGAGTTCCTCTTATCTCGCCACTTTGGTGCTGATAGTCTCAATTAGTTTAATAATTTTCCATTAGCGAATTCCGTTTCAAATTCCTTATATACTACTCTATGTAGGCAAGCCCTGTCTGACCCACATATTTGCCCGTCCATGGACGACGGTTTTTTCTCCTTGAAAGCTGATCAGTTCATATTAATTTTGTATTTTTCGAAAAAGTTTTCGCGCTGCTCGTTACCGTTTTTCCTAAGCATGAACTAAATGCTGTACAGACCCTATGCACTCTTTCTAAAATTCACTTGAAAATTTATTTTTATTTGAATTGATAGAACCCTGAGGGGTACTTAAAAATACGACTTGTTTAATTATTTATTTAAATCCCTGTGTATAGTTTTCATTATGGGTATGTAGTCCAATAACCTCTGACGTGCTCTGATCGGCCCCCCATCATCCAGAACAGTAGCAACGCTAGGATTTTACATGGTTTGCATTAAAAGGTAAACTTTAGGTACTTCCTGAATCGATTTTGATGGAATTTCACTTCGCACGTACTACTAGACCATGGGGCAGCAGGATATTTACGATAGTGAAGCGCCAATGTCATCTAGCGACTACTTGTTCTCCGCGGTTTTGTCACACTGTCCTCCCGTGCGCCTAACACTCCCTGTCGATTCGCTGCTGGGACCGTCGAGTCTTGTCATTAGCCTTGCGAGTGCTCGAGATCAGTCAGCGCCGGACCTTCCATGATTGGCTGGCGGCCAGAGAGACAGGACGATAGGCGCACGCACGCGCTGCGGCGAACAACTACAAGGGCGGACACACAACAACTTGCCTCGAGAGAGAGCTTGTGACGACTGCTAACAGAGACATCTGATCGCTCATACACGCCAGTAAAGTTTGACTAATGCAATTTTTATTTGCTGACTTCTGATTTTGTAATATTCGTGTTGTCAACCATATCAATACGACACGGCCACCTTGTGAGGAATGAGGACACTCGGCTGTGCATGTGATTATTTTACAACTTTGCGGCTATGCTTGTTCTCAGACAAAGCGGACAAAGACTTTTTGCAGGGACATCTTAGAGATCTCAATCAAAAACCTGCAAATAAACTATGCAACTTGGGAGAAACTCAACTAAAACCGGTAGACATGGCGTCTTCCGTAAATACTTAAGCATCTACCCTCAAAGCAAACGTAAAAGCCACTGCCATTTTGCCTATAGCATGCGCCGCTGTGCGGCTGCTGGTTGGGCTCGAGAGAGAGAGCCCGTAAGGCACAACGGAACAAGTTCCGTATGAACCATCGGTGAGCGCTCTCTACCATTAAAAGCCACTGACAAGGCAAAAAACTAGAACTGAAAGACTAAAGAACTTCAGACAAATGACGCCAGCATCCAGCCTCCGCCGTCGTGTTCACTCTATAAGCGCATCAGTCTCGTTACGCATCTGCCGACTTAGTGCAGTGTCAACACGAGCAATGCTCCCTTTAACAAACAGCACGTTACCACTGCTGTTAACGCTAACAACACCAATATGGAAACCGGTGCCTATCTGCAGAACGCTGATTTCATTGCCCAGACCACCAAAGGTGTGTGCTGGATTCCAATTTGTCAATAATGTAACCGCACCGGTTAACCACGACTAGGTCATGTCAATCACGTATGAATTTATTACAGAAAGCTGGAGAACCAATACACGTTTACATGACAGACTCGTCATACATTCCTCACCGGCGAACAATGTCCTAGGACATTCAGACGCCGTTCAGATCTAAGCGACCATTCGCACTTTCATGACAGCGGAATTCAGGCATTTCAATCAAGACCAACCGTCCTCCTGGAAGCAAAACCTACACCATCATCGTCGGCACTACTAATAACATCACCATCATGACAGTTTAAGTAATTACTGGCCCATCCTGTAGTTACTGTTAATACACACGTGCATTGGCGAATCCACCTCACTTATACCAATGAACTATTGTCAGGAGTCCCAGTATACACCCCTCGCACCCACCCCACCTGTCCTCACTGTCGAGGAACATTCGGTCATTTTCATGAGCATATTAGTTCATATGCGCCTTCCTGTAAATTTTTTGGTAGAACCACACTCCAATCTCTAGCATTAGTCCACGTGCAGATCTCTAGACTGTACGGCAAACTTCTCCTCAAATCAGACGACAGTAGTACCTCCTCCGAGCATCAAGAAAGTGATCTTCTTCGCTGTCGTCGACACGATCGACACAGAATTAGTCAAATCATAAGTATGTCTTATTGGTGTGCACGAAGTGGTGATCAAATCCTATGTGGTACACGCGGATGTGGTGTCTAACTCTGCTAATCGCCGCGCCTTATTCCATCACCAGTTGTTCGACAGGCTCAGTCTACCTGAGCATGACATAGAAAGAGAAGGTGATATTGACACTTGGGAATCAATACCCACGGCAACTCCCAGCATTCCGCGTTACAATAAACTTGACGAGCTTAAGTGTACCACGATTTGCTGCCACTCGTGATTCAAATGATGCCAAGTAACGGTATAACTCGTTTGTCGCAATCACTGTTCTGTGCATGTGGAGTGATTGGCGTGAGCACTGAGAACCAGACCCAAAGGCGTCCACCTAATTAAACTTCTGTGCTACTCCCATTCATATGAGAAGCGAGCCGCCACCGTGAAAGTCATGCTCCTGTTATGGGGACCAAATCTTTGGTGTCCCGCGTAGACGGGTGTTCAATTTTGTCAGCCACTGATACAGGGTCGGTCTGTTTTCTCATGTCATTGAAGTCAGGCCGATGTAGCAGGTGTGAATAAGATAAGTGTTGTGCAAATCTGTCTTAATATAAACCAATTAACATACTTTACGGGGCAGCTTGTGGGCGTTATCGCTCACGACAGTGAAAATGCCAAATTTCTGCAGCAGTTAATTTTGCATTGATCTCTGTCATCGCCTCTGGTATGCATGCCAATTATTCACTGCATATCTGTTCTCAGGGGCCCTTTCTCAGGGTTAGGTGTTAGGTTTGTGTGCGAAGTCCGAAAACACAGTGCAGATTAAGCGCCCAATCATATGCTTGTGGAATATACATAAGGTGGCTTTACCTACTAACAATGTTTCTTTATTGGGCTGCCGCTCATAATGTTATGTCAGTTCGAGGCCATTTTTCGAACTAAAGTAGATAGCCGCAGTAAACGTAGGGAGCTCCTAGTAATCAACCATTGGCCAACTTGTGTGACTTAAACTCCTTGCACTTTTCATGTTTTTGCTGGTTTGTTGAAATCCGCCGGATTCCTGGCCGGGTATTCAGAATCGGTTGACGATTCTACCATTTATTCGCCGCGCTCCCCTTTTCACCTTCTGCAATGGCCACGCTTGTAAAGAAGACTTTTTATGTGTCTGGGATGTTGGCTACTGGTACAATTAACACAATTGCCAAAAAGGTTCAGTTTGATTGCAGGTATAACTCGCACTCTTTGACCTGAAAATATTTAGCGCTCCAGGCTACTTCAACTACTCAGCTAATGCCACTAAGACCGTGCACGTGTTCGACAAACCGTGGTTCCAAACGTATCTGATGTTCGTCGGTGAAATTCTCTGTCTATTTGGCTATCTTATTATGAGGAAAATGGTGAAGAAAAGATTCACTACCAACGGCGCTTTCGATGCCGAGGGTTGGCAGAACTCGCAATTTTCGAAACCGTAATTCATATTTGCTTCGAGTTTGCGTTAGTATTTTTAATTGGGTGTTCCTCCTTCCTGCCATGTTCGACATCACTGGATCAACTTTGCAAGGTATTGGCCTAGTATACATTGACGCGTCAGTCTGGCAAATGCTTCGCGGTTCAATCATCGTTTTTGTTGGGATACTTTCGGTAAGTCTGTCTTGCCTTCCATATGGACAATATTGCCCCTGCCAGGCCTAGAACCGAAATGTTTTCTTTTAGTCTCCATTATCTATATTTATTTATATCCAGTTCTTCATAAAAGACTGGAAACTCACATCGACCCTACGGCAAGCTGGGATCGGGGGCTAGAAGAAGCGTTTACCGTAAATGTGGTGGTAATTTCGAGCACGCCATTTGCCATATTTGGGTGGAATTATGCCTCTTGCAATTTTTGAGTTAATTGTATTTCAGGAGATCGTGCATTGTGCGTTTCAAATTAAGACCTAAATGTTCGTTATCAAGTTAAATTCCGAAACTATGAAGGTGAAGCTTGTACTCTTCCTGCTTTACCTAGTTTTGGGAGCCCGCGTGTTTCGTCTTTGTACGTGCACTCGCCCCATCAGCCTTCCACACTGCGTCAAGGCTTTTATACTTTGTCTCTTAAGTAGTAAAATTGGGTTTTGTGCACAGTACAGTGAATGAAGTGTCAACCTTTCTGACAAGAATCTATCAGCGCCCTCCCACCCAGCGTTCCGAAGATTCAATGGTTAAGATAGTCGCTCGAAGTTGTAAATGCCTTCAAAATTTGGACTTTCTACCGACTGAGACGGAGCACTGGAGTGACTAATTTTGGCCTATTTACCACCATCAGCGAATGAAATCTAACTCCGGACTGCATATCAGGTGGTAATCGGTTAATCTCCTAACCCTTTATTACAAGCAGTCAACATACCAATTATTATGGAAAATGTCATGTTTCATGGTAACGCCGTACGTTAGTCCCTCCGGATTGATCTGAGGGCCGACAGCCTACGCAAGTTTTTTTTTAAAGATCAGCACTCAGAGATTGTGTTGGCATTGTCAATTAGGGCCTGTTTGTTGGACGATCAACTGTTTCGAGATTCAGACCGATTGCTTACAGTCGGGGGTGGAGTAACACTGGCTGATAACAACAAATAAGCCGGAGTTGATCGTTTCTGTGTGCTTCTGTTGATCCAACCTATACATTCATAATTGATTGTCGCCTGCCACCTCAGCGCAATTCGAAAATACCGTTTTCACTTTTCACGTCCCACCACTGTTAGATGGGGTCAACTGAAAATTACGCAATGTAGGTGCTGAATGCCCATGAAAGTAATGGCCTGGCTCATCAGCGTGATGATGTTGGCAAAAAATGAGTCAGAACCAGAAACAATTGAGGTGGACAGAAATGAAGGCAAATTGCATGATTGCATGCCTCAGCAGTAATAGGCGGTTTTTTGGCAATGCCATCAACGGACGAATTTTGTGAAAATTTGAAGTTTTGCCAGGGGTCGCGGTAATCAGCCTATTTTCACGATCACCTGCCACCGGACCGTCAAATTCGCCTAAAAAGCATGCGGTTTCCTTTCCCACCATGTAGGCCTTCTAAGAAAGTCGAGTGGGAATTTTAAAAAACGATCTAGCTCAATATTCCCATTGTCTTCACCTCCGTTACTTAAATTGCAGTCATGTTCCCCTCTCCATTTCTCATCCACCCCTGTTGTTAACCCCCTGCCTACTTTTCCCTCACCTCGAACAGACAGTCTTCTTGCGACGGCGACTCTGGGGCTTCCACTGGACTGGCATGATGGTAACGGTCTTTGGTCTTTGTCTTGTTGGCGTGGCTTCCGTGTTTAAGCCGTCCACAGAGTCCCTTATCACATCGCCTGCTAAGGCAGCGTTGGGTAAGCTATCCCATTGTTCCAATATTTCGTGGTGGCATTTCCTCTAGTTTGTTAATTCGAAACGGCTGTTATATTTTCCGGATTTTCGTTCATAGCCGGCATTATCGAAATGCCTCCACTGGTTATATAAGGAGGAATAGTATGTGTCGGCTAAAGTGAATAGCAGTAAATTTATGTGCGTATATCGGAAACCCATATTCCCCCTCTCTATCCCCACAGTAGCAGTGTGACTTTATTGGTCAAAATGATCGAGGCGGTCTCTGCTAAACATCTCTCCTAACCATTGGTTGCCTTAAAATTCCGAGTGTCCGGTTTTTATGCGCATCAGTTGCGCTTTCAGTGACTCCCCTGTTTGGAAGGCTAGATAGCTCGAAGAAATACCCGTTGTTTGCATCCTTCACTTATACTATTCCTCAGTACTTGTAATTTTCCAGGAGTAGCCGTGTGCTATATAGAGTCAAAACCTTTCTTTGCTCAACTCTGATCCGATGTTGGTGGTTTTTGAGTGCTTCCTCGTTTTTGGTCTCGAACACTTTATCCTTTCAGTCGTCTACGTAAAATTACAGGACTTCTGTCAATCCAACTAAACACTGTTTAAACAAATTGCACTTTTTAATGTGCCTGCCCTAATATTCTATGCATGTCTATTCTGAATTGCGCCTGTAATCGGATGGAATTTTAGTAGGTCTTAGTGATCGTTGCCAAGTTGGATGTTGGCTTTGCCGAGGAGTTTTTCCACTGTGATAAATGTCCGTTGAAATACTAGTCCGTTTCGAGCGTCGATTGGAGTTTCGTGCTTTGGTAGGCGCTTATCACTATGGGTGAGTAAAGTTTACGTGGGCCGTACCCAGAACTCGAGTTGTGGTATACTTATCACTAGCATAGACATTTCGACCGTCGTTACCGACTATGTCTGCCGTGCTCCCTACAGGCGCGGGAAATATGACTTGCGCAGCATCTGTCGTACTCACTCCTCACCCACACGAGCCCGGTGTCAAGAAAGAGTCGAGAACACCGACACAGTGGCTGGCAAGGTTGACCAGCCTGTCTACGCGTGCCTCACTTGCCTGGTCCGTGCACGAGACAAGTTGACGGCTCGCATCCTAACTGAGTGGCAGTGTCACATTAAGAGGAAATATGCGTTTAGCGCAGTGGGACGGAGTCCCCAGAATCGAGCTCCCCCCCCCCCCTTCCTGGTACTACTCAACTGCGCGAGTTGATCAGTCTTCTTATACGGGCTGACATCGTATTATGTGCAGCGATTCCGTTCACCGTGAGTCCCTGTGGCGGATAATGACGCTAGATGGTGTACCGGCAAAAATCATCGCCATGATCAGGGCCTACTATCGCTCCACTACTGCGAGAGTCCTGGCCCGCAACAGTCTTTTCCAACCGTTCGGTATTCGGTCTGACGTCCGACAGGGTTGTACCCTGTCACCCATTCTGTTCAACTACGCTAATGGCTGGATCCTCGGGAGGGCCCTACAAGAAGGTGACGGCGTTGAGTTTGCACCCGGACCTCGACTGACTGATCTCGACTATGCCAATGAAATCGTCTTACTTGCTTCAAGTTTTGGTGATCTGCAGTCTATGGTGTCACGGGTAACGAGGTCGGTAAATCGGTCGGTTTATCCATAAACGCTGGGAAGACCAAAGTGTTTTCAAGCTGTATCCCTGACCAGGAGAAGGCGCCCCTCGGGATTGATGGCTGTTAACTTGAGGAAGTAGACAGTTTTAAACACCGTGGGACGAGGCTATTGCCTAATAGACAGAGTAAGGACGACATCGTCTCCCGAATCGATGCTGCCCGCTCGGTTTTTTCAAGCCTTCGGAAATGCTTATGGAACCGACGTGACCTCTCCATCGCCACCAAGATTCGCGTGTACCGTGCGTCTGTCCGGTCTGTCCTTCTCTACGGTTGTGAATGCTGGGCTTTGCGCGTGGAGGACAAACGAAAACTGGAGGTATTTGACAACCACTGCTTGAGGACCATCCCTCGAGTGGAGTTCACCGACTTCGTCTCAAATGAGACAGTCCGCGCTCGCTGCGACAACATCGCCAGGATAACTCAGGCCATTCAAGAAAGAGGACTGAGGTGGTTCAGGCATGTTCTTCGTCGTCCACCTCAGGAGCTCAGTGTTACTGCTCTCGATCCGGCAGCATTATCCCATTGGAGGCGTCGAAGAGGGGGTCAGTTCAAAACCTGGCTCGACACTGTTCGTCAAGACATGGAGGTGGTTCTTGGACCTTCGGTATTTGGTCTCCGTCGTTGGCGAAGGGAATGGGTTGAGCTGTCCAGATCTGCTGCCTCGGATCATCACGCATGGAGAGGTACAGTTCGGGACATCATCCAGGCCGGCTAGATCAGGCATGATCGCAGCCGTATCAAGTACAAGTACAGTAAGAACACAAGTGACCGGTGACCATCGGTTTTGCTTCATCTTCGTCCTGTTCTTCGTAGTTTACTCCGCTGGAGCTAAGGCGTTGGTGAATCTCACGAAATGGCAGATATCCAAGAAAATTCACGCGTCACTGAAGTCAGTAATGGATTTGTAAGGTACACCGTGCGAAGAGTCTATGGTTGGAGTTCGTCTCACCCGGTGTCAAGAAAGAGTCGAGAACACCGACACAGTGGCTGGCAAGGTTGACCAACGCGTGCCGCACACATACCTGGTCCGTGCACGATGGAGCAGGGTTTCACAGTTGACGGCTCGCATCCTAACTGAGTGGCAGTGTCACATTAAGAATAAATATGCGTTTAGCGCAATGGGACGGAGTCCC